CACCCGGGTGTATTCTATTACTAGAAGTGCTATAGTTTATGTAACATATACTGTAGTGTTTCTAGTAATAGAGTGCACCTAGATGAGGAATTTGAACGCACCCATGCATGGAAACGGAACGCACCCACAATAATATTACGATTTTCTCTGTAATTTGCTTAAAATTTGGCCAAATACGTTAGTTTTAGGTCCTTCGCGAGATGTCTCTACTTGGACTCCTGTAAACCCTTAAATTCATTTTCAAATACTACGGCCAGTATTCATAATCAAATCTTATTTCAAGACCGTCTTAAGGCCAAATCACAATAGCGATTGGCGATTGACAATTAAAGATTAAATTTTAACGAATCAACAAACTTCAGTCTTGGTTTGCTTTATTCCAATTGATCAAGTTCCAATCTTCAATCGTCAATCATCTATCGCCAATTGTTAGTGTGATTTGGCCGTAAGCCAGTATCACACTAGCGATTGGCGATTGATGATGGACAATTGAAGATTGGAACTTGACCAATTGGAATAAAGCAAGCCAAGGTTGAAGCTCGTTGATTCGTCAAAATCTAATCTTCAATTGTCAATCATCAATCGCCAATCGCTAATGTGATACAGGCTTTAAAAGAGATGCTGTACGCGATTGCGAACTTCGAAAACGTCGGCAATGTAGTACGCGTCTGTTTAGGACAGACGCTAGTGTATGTTCGACACGGTCTCATCACTGATAGAATTTCGATTGTAGGCACGCAGCGTCGAGTTACTAAATCTAAGATGCAGCGTTCTTCTCTTTGCGCTTAAGCAGAGACGCTTTATCTATTTGTGTGATGATCCTCGTCACATTGGATTCTAACACTGAAGTCTGTATGAATTATAGAAAAAGAATAACGTAAGCAATCGAGAGCTACGTATATGTGTATGTGTATATGTATATGTATGTATATATGTGCCTAACACTTTAGTTCATTGATATAAGAATAGACCGAATATAAAGGTGCCAATACATGGGAGCGTTCCAGCGTCGAGCGTTAAAGTGTTAGCCAATCAACGTATCAGGTTCCAGAAGTATACTTGTAGTTCTTGCGGAAAGTGGCACGTTGATTGGCTATCGCTTTAACGTTCGACTCTCGATGCTCCCATGTAAAGGCACCTTAAGACTCGAGATCTGAAGACGTAAAACAAAGTTCAGCATATGTGACATATTTCGATCGATTTTTGATTGAGATTATAATAAAAAGCAGTAGCAACAGTAAGACATTTACGCAGTTACATTCTTTACATAACAATAATTAATAATTTCATAACTTTTAGATACAATTTTTCATTTCTTTGCACATATAGAATACATGTGTAAGAACAGTATAGAATAGCCAAAAATAAATCTTAAAAAAGTCTTCACAATTTTGTGAAAAAATTACGAAATTATAAAGATTTGTTACTTTTATGTAACCATTACGGTAACGAGTTATTTTTTCAATGGATAACGAGTATTGATAATAAATTACTTTTATCAATGAGTAACGAGAAACAGTAGCGTATTACTCGTTACTCCAGTTCGCGCTATTCCTCCTTATCTCATCGCTCCGTGCAAAACCTACGATCTACTTGAGACTCATTGTGCGTGAGACGACGAGGTAAGGGGAAATAGGACGTGCCGGAGCAAGTAAAAAACTGGTTGATATGTGTAATGCGTGCCGAACTCCGACATAAATAGAGACAGAGACTACATCTCCGTCTTTCTTTTATCGTGCAATTCAGAAAAAGAAAGAGATACTGTTTTCACTTTCTATCTCTTTTATGTAATTTTTT